GGTAAATATCGAATGAATAAACAAGTTCTATTATTGCGGAAGTGAAATATTGGGTCGGTCAATTTCTATATCAATTGATTTCTGAAATCCTCTCTTTTGACGTGTTGTATTTTTGATAGAATGTCCTTTATAATGATCAAATACCACATCTATCATTTGAACATTAAATTTATTTCTAAAAATAATGTTTACAAATATATGAGCATGTTCTTTAAATGATATGCAACTTTTGGGCTTTCCTATTTTGATATCATTTTTGTCTTTGCTACTTGCAGCAACAAATCCGTAATTAAAATTTTAAACGAAAACTTATAACTTACCCAAATAGCTGCAACAGGATGAATGTAGATATAATAAAGATGCAAAAATGTCTATATTTTTTCCCAATTTATTAGGTAATTTAATATATAACACATACACTTATTAATTCTTTAGTAAAAACAGATAACAATATGACACATTGCCCAATGGAACATAACGAGAAGTTTTATAATAAAAAAAATGAAAAATCCTACCATATCAATAATGTGATACATCAGCCGGCACGTAGAGAGAAACAGAGCTATGCTACGTTTGAAGGTGAAGAGAAAGATACACTGAGAGTCGATAAATTTGGCGGTGAGAATCACGTGAGAATTAATAACAACATAAACCTATGACATCTCTCATCTTTTATTGTTATATCTTTAAGCTATTTTTGGCGTGCTCCCGTTGATAAACAGTGACACAGAAACCGTGACATGTCAAATGCCCCCACTATTATGTCTCGGTTTCTAAAAAATTCTTCGCAAAAATGAACCGGTTTACGTCAATCGTCAACGTTTTAGATAAACGAGGTTATGTTATGTGTATTTAAAAGGTATTTTACAATAAACAAACTGTGAAAAATCTAATATTGAGGAAGACACACAATTTTTCTTATAAATAACAAATTTAAATAGAATTTAGAGACATTTCAACGAAAACTATTATACATAAAATAAAAATATGAACGCACAAAATAAAATGCAACTCTGACAGCTACCAAAAATTCCAAAACAAAACGGTATTACAGTATTACAGAATGCTATGAACATCAACTGTCACTATCAACCGTTTGTTCACCACCTCAAGAGGCCGGGAACAGATTCATCACGGCGGTAGCAAACAATGACGTCAGTGAATGACGTCATTACACTTCCCCTTGAGCGGTTCACGTCGCGAAAATGATGCGGGTAATACCGTTTGATCACCGGGAGTTCGCCAAAAATTGGTAAAATACCAATTCAAAAGCAAAATATGGTGTTTACTCTGTTACCTTGTCAACACATAAACAAAAATTTTATAAAGAATGTTTTTTTTTCATTTAGGCCTACGTTTTTTGTTAAATGAGTGGTATATTTAAAAAAGACGACTTCTTAACTAAATTTTTGAAGGGCTAAAACCAAGATATTTACGTTTATATTTTTTTTCGGCCGTAAAGTGCTAATGCAAATAATTTTTTTAAAATAAGTATGAACAATTACTCCCTACAAAGATTTTATTGTGCATTTGATCAAAAAATGAGTATTTTTTTCTCTATTCGGTGGTATCAATATCTGGATTTTTGATGATAATGCCCTTCTGCACACTCTAATTTTGTATTAACTCCGGAATAAGGGTTACCTTATCATGACCTTTCATCTGTGAAAAATTCAGCCTTGTGACAAAAGAGTGGGAAGTGAATCGTTTTCTTGAGCGAATATTTTAATACATATACACTTTACTAACAATGACAACAGCGGATATTATGTCCTACTGTGTCCCTTAGAATATGTCTTATTCACGGCCGCACGATATTTGTTAGTAGTTACATCTCCTGGTTATCTCAAGGGTATGGTCTGTGGTTATCTCTGACCAGAACCAACCAGAACTGTTATTAAATACATTTAACAATAAAACTTTAATATTATTTAGTCGTGAGAGAATTCTTTATGCTGCTGCAGAAGAATGGGGTTAGCTCAAAATTCACTAAAGGCAAATTTTTGTAATTTAATATTTCTTTAAAGTTTTGAAGGGGTCTTCGTTATTAAAAACAAGATATAAATTATGCTGAAATGCTGGAGGCTGGCGGTAATCCCCTATGAATCCCCTACTAAACCAAATACTGACCCTACCTTGGATTTGTTCAAACAAGAAAACACCGCGACATAAATGTATAGATTTCTAAAAATTTTTAAATATACGCTCTGAAGTTTAGATAGAGAGCCACTCATAAAATTTCGATATTTTAAAAAGTAATAGATTTTTCATTTTTTCTTGAAAGTCGTAATAACGTACTGGTGTATTTTTTTACTAATAAATTTGTTACAATTGTAAGGGCCGATTCCACCGTTGTGTTAAACGGAGATTAAAATGACATTGTCTGTAAAAATGTCATTTTAAACTTCGTTTAACACATCGGTGGAATCGGTCCTTATCAATGACATATATAGTTTAAATAGACTGCTTATCCATACGTAAATAAAACGATGAAAAGTGGATCGAACTGGGAGATGTTTTCTCTTTGTCTAGTGCATGCAATGTTTGTGGTTTGTCTCAATTTTGAGTGCTCACTGGTAAACAAACCTTTCGCAGGACCGGTTTTAAAGAAAGTTTAGTCTAGTTGAGATTTTGTTCTCATTGTCATTACTCAGTCAGACATTTTGTTAAATTGTTTATTTTATTTAGTTTTAATTATACTTATGTTCTGTTTTAAGTTTTTTAATTATTTGAGTATAAAAACTTGTTTTGTTTTTAAATTTAAATGGTGAATTGCTCTATAAAGGTTTGTAAGACCAGCTACAGAAATATAAAAAGTAACATTTCATTTTTCACGCAAGTATCAATACAAGTAGGTACAAGGTAAATACGTTTATAATAATTTTACGAATTATAATTAATTATAATAATAATATTAATAATAATAAAGTATTTATTGTAAATACAATTACATAAATATTATTATATTCAAAGGCCCGAGTTAGAGCTATCTGGGCTTTACAAGTACATTTTAAAAGTTAGTTAGATACAGAGAAGTATCGTATAATAAAAACTCAATATAAATAGAAGAAAAACGGACATAAGTACCAATACAGAGAGACAAACACTTTTATTCTTTGATAGGTTCTTTCTATGTGAATTCTAGCTCTGGCAATTTTGGCATTAAGTAAATCCTCTTGATAGCTGAACTGATTTTTTTTATTGAGGAAAGGAGGCTGTATAATTTGTATACCTTCAGCTTCTGTTATGTTTCCAATAAGAAAACCTTTGTTAAACATTTTACTATCGAGAAATGATTCACACACTTCAAGTATTGAACTTTGTTAAAAAATTTCTATTTCTGAAGTTTACCACCATATGCTTCACTTTTGTAAGTAATGAGACCAGTAGGTGACACTCCAGTCAATATTTTAATAGTATGCCTCTTTTTGTAGTCAGAGTAATTTTTTAGCCTACAACAAAGACATTTGGCTTGCTGTATTGGGATTTCGGTACAATCAAGTAGTAGTACTCTTACTTACATAGAGGCACATTATTTAATATTTCTTGTTTTGAAGGCCGAATTATACCATACTAAGAACTTCTACCAGTTTTATTAAAAACTGTTAAAAAATTTAACGATAAAAAGTTTAATTCACTCCAAATAAAATGAATAAGACACTATATCTTGCATATCAGTTTTCAACTTCATAAAAGTAAATATAACTTGATCCTTTACAGACATAACTGATCTCCTATTTCCTATTCTTATTAAAGTAGATAGTTCTTTAGTACTAACAATTCTGTTTGAAAACGGATCAACTAAATCACCACTCTTCACTTGTGTTGAACAATCGATCTCAATTTTCTGCTTTTAAACAAAGTTTAGTAAATTAAGCAAAGCTATTCAGCAGCACACAAATCTTCATTATCTGCTTCAGTAGTAGATATATGTTCATTAACTGCAAAAACACATTAAACATCATAATAATAATAATTAACCAAACATTTTAAATTATGCATACGTACATCCATTGCCTGAAGAAGATAACTCAACACCTAACATTCTACTAGTACTGGCAACATATCATTATTAAAGACAGTAGCCATAATTCTTGTTTTAGCTGGATTACTTTTCTTTTTATTAATAGTCGCATTCTTTTTACCACTAATCTGAGCTAACTTACATCGACTAAGCTTAGTTGTACGTTCTTTTTGTGATTGTAAGTCAGAATCTTTATTTCCCTCTTACCGATGCTAAGGTACACGGATCTTGACGTCAACTAAGATTGCACTTTGTACCTAGTCCATTTTACTATGATGTTGATCAGATTTCCACTGGTGGAATTTTATTATTATTCATCAAATCATTCACATTCACCGCCAAAATAATCCTTAATTGTCTAAAGGGACAAACTTTAGAATGTGAAAAAGCTACTAACTTTAAATCTTTAAAAAGTTCATTCAATTTTTGCATAATATCTGCTTTTATAATGCGAAATAAATTTTAAAAGAATAATCAAGTGTCCGAATAGTGCCACTATACAGTAGTCATGGTCTAAAGTTAGTTATATACACATGAGTGTAAAATTGTTTATATCTATGTTCAAAATTGGTTAGATCTATTAAAATGTTTTGAAGATTGGGAAACTAGACGTTACGACTCAAAATCCTTTTTTAAAATACCTAACGCAAGCTCCTGTCTTGAAATAAACATACAGATATATTTTTTTTTAATTCAATTCCTACTTTGATGAAATATGTGTTTTAAACTCATTTGGGCCAGACCGATTCTGCCTGGTGAGCACTCGGCAAGCCAAGCAATATGACCCGCTTTTCGTCGTCTTGTTTATATATGGATGAGCAGTCTATTAATCTATATATGTCATTGGTCCTTATAGCGACGGCAACAGTGATGTGACGTAGACAGTAACGTGCACAGAACACTTGTGACGTGTTGGGAGCGTTGTGAGTTGTGATAACTAGTACAGTGTTGCCACTTCTACCCCGACTCTTGTGGTTGGATTTCCTAAATTCACAACCTAAAATTCTAATAAACCAGAAAGAAGAATTTTAAAGGTGACATTGGTCACAGTGACATTGACAACAATGACAAATGTTGAATGTTTATGTAAATATGAAAAAGAAGTCAATTTTTTTTCAGAACAATAAACAAAATATTCTCAATTAATGAATAATTAAGAGTTTTTTATTAAGGTTATGCTAGAATCATACGATGATCAGGAAAAATGCTTGAAGGGCACAATTTTTTTGAAAGTGACAGTGATATAGATAAAACAAGCTTTTCTGTTTTTGTAACTATTTTATATATAAAAGTTCTTTATATTTTAGTAATGATACTGTATGTTTTATCGCGATTCAACGAAATAGTGTCAAATTAATATCTGTAATGTTTATATTCAGTGAGGTATATTCAGTTGGTAATATTTATTATATTATAGTCCTGTCAACTTTTTTGTTTTTAGCCTTCCCTTCAACCATGGCATATTTCCAAAGGTGATATACAAATCTCTATCCCAAATGATGTTATTAATAGTTTAACAAGTCAGGATATCATTGCTATTAATTTCCTATACCAAAATTATAAAAATGAAGTGAGTGAAACAACTTTATTTTAGCCACTTTAAATGCACAAACATTGAAATATTTTTTATTTGATATAATTTTCTTATAACTCATTAATGATACTTGGAAAGTTTGGATTTTCTGAGGGGTGAACCACTCCCAAAATACTGGTACGTTTTTGTTTGAACCTACTGAAATTGCTACAAATTCTCTCGAAATATCCGAAATTATCACTGAAAATCATGGCTACAATCATCACCAAATCTATGAGTCCCAAAAAATGTCATTTGAATATTCAAATAGAAAGTTTATAGATAATTCATAGATAATATGCTAAAATAAATCATACAAATTTTTTATGATTTCTGAAATATGCATGTTTTGACCTTATAGTGGTTTACCTCTTTGGGATTTTCTAAAGACAAAAGACAAAATATTTGTTAGTTCAACTGTTTGAACCACAAAAATTAACTATATACCATGGATTAAGATGAAAGGATATTGATAAAAATAAGTACTTGTAAATTAAAAAAAAAAAACAAAATGGTCCTAGTTTTTTGTATATAAATATATGTATAATAAATAAAATATTGTCATTTGTATCTAGGTACACATTATATTGCAGTTTATTGAAAATGTTATTGATTCTTATTCTCACTCTTCTGCAACAATAAAATTAACTTAAGACATACAGATATTTTTTTTTACATGGCTCACAAAATAGTTATGAATATTTGTATCTATTTAATTTTAAAAAGTTGCAAATGAGATATTTTGATATTCAGGTTTTTAAAAAAGTAACATGACATAAATTCGTAAAATACTTTAATTATTGAAATTATTGATTTTTTTAGTTCAAGGGATCTATATTAAATGAAGAAGAAGGATTTAATGTGCAAGCTCAAGTTTCTACATTTGTAAATGTTATTCTTCAAATTTGGACTAAACCTAACGAAAATTTCCGACTATTGGTAATCACACCAGAATATCTCTTACAGAAATGGAGTGAAACCCTCAAAAACATTGCTGCACTAAAAGTTCTAACTGTTGAACCAAAAAGTAGGTCCGAAATATTAAAAAGTCAAGTAAAAAATACTTCATAATTATCTTAAGTCTTAGAGAATTATTTTTTAGTAATTTTTAAAATTTAATTCTCACAGAATAATTTAAGTTTTTTAAAATGATTTTATTTTCAGCATGTCCAGCAGATTTTGATCAAATGAATAAGGTGGCACTGCTCCTTTCGTTTGACTACATTAAATTTGTGGAAGCTCTGTCTGAATACAATTTTGTTTCAGTAGTAATAGATCATTTTGATGCTATCGCTAATAAGTTAATAATCAAGAAGTTAGCTGGAAAATTTAATATTGGATTGACAAGAAGAAACTTTTATGTAAGTGCTAAAAATATATGAAGAAATTGTAATTCTGTTAGTTATCCACAATGAACCAGAATTTTGTTCTATGCTTTAAAATCTATAGTAGATTTTTAGCTGGTTGGAACGTTTAATAAAATTTATGGGTTATATCAACAAGCAATTGCCCAATTAAAATACAAGTTTAATAAAAAGGAAAATTTAAAACCTAACCTTCACCTAGAGAATGTTGAAACAAAGAAACACAAATTAACATAAACAAGAAAAAATTAAATATAAAAAAAACAAGATAACAATTGTAAATAAGTTAAATCTAGACATCAAAATATCAAATATATCATTTAAGCTGGGATTTAAAGTTTAATAAAAGGGAAAATTTAAAACTTAACATATGTTTAGATTATGTTGAAACAAAGAAACAGGACTGCCAGAATGAAAATGACAAATCGTACTCAGTGTTGTTCCTAGGGATTTTTGAATTTTACAACTTTCAGTGTCAAAATTGTGCACTTTTACTTTCGATTGTACAACCACTAATTAATCTTCTTGTTTATTGACAGACTATGGCCTACTACTTTCCCATGCTTAAAATTCTTTTTTCCAGTTTAAAATATATTTTTGATGTAAAACGGTGTACTGATTGGTCGCGAATGGCGCCAAATTTAAACTTTTTTTTTTTATTAATTTTAGTTTAACAAATCGTAGACTTTTTGAGCGAAGAAAACCTTTTATATACCCGATTTTACATAAATATTTAGCAAGTTCAAATTGTACAACATTTCTGACTTTTTTCAAAAGTGCGTACAACAGTACAACCGCATAACTGATTGTACAACTTTTTGTACAATTGTACAACCAGGAACAACACTGATCGTACTGAAAAACATTTTAAAACGTACTGAATTTCAAAAAAACGTACTGAATAACCAAATTTAAAAAAAAGCTATATTTTATTGCCGCGTTTGAATATCCACATCCGATGCATCTGAGATGTGAATTTTTTATCACGTGATAGAGAATTAGATCTGAATGTAGATGTAATAAATGCTCTAGACTTTATTGGTCACGTGATAAAAATAAAATTTGACTTTGAAAATTTGAATTTGAAATCTAAACAAAAATTAAACACACTAATCACTTTTATATTCATGCTAGCATAAACAAAGGATTAAATCAATGAACTTGGCTTCAAAGAACACCTACTTTCTGGCATGGAATGAACATCTCATTTCAAATCGAGATGTGAAAAATGTAATCTGGACAGCTACATCTCTGATAAACAAACGCAGATGTAGATGTGTCCGATGTGGATAAACAAACGCTCGAGATGTAAAAAATGCATCGGATGTGGATATTCAAACACGGCTTATGAAAATGTACCAATACCTAAACCGAACAACACCTTAAAAATGACTGTTAATTTAAATTCATTAACTATTAAATAACTTTTGTAAAAAAAATTTTAACATTTACAAAAATTTTACCCTATAGGAACAAATGGTACAAGTGAACTAAAAATGATTTGCTGTGATTTAACACTTTTATTACATTATATAATCTTTATGTATAACAAAAAAAGTCTTAATCCATTTTACTTTCAGAATTACAATCAATAAACGAGCAATAAATTTCAATTTCTAATAAATTATTTGACTCATCACATGACTTAACTGTCAACTGTCATCCATCGTTAGTAAAGTACGTCACTTTATTCAAAAAATAACAAAATAGTACTGAAAATGGTACTGTATTGACTATTTTTTTAATAAAATACATCACTTTATTCGAAAAATGTACAAATATTACTGAAAATGGTACTGAATTGACTATTTTTAACAAAAACGTACTAAAACTAACAACGTAACACTGACGTACTGAAAAAGTACTGAGTTCAGGACAAATGCAATGAATCTGGCAGCCCTGCAAAGAAACACAAATTACCATAAAACTAACATAAACAAGAAAAAATTAAATATTAAAAAAAAAAACAAGATAATTGTATCTGTAACGTGTGGAGGGTGGGTTGCCCCCACGTCACTTAGGCCTCATTAGGCCCATTGTGCATCCTCCTAAGATGATAGGCACCTCCTAGCTCGTGAGCCAGCCTACAGATTTAATGTAGTTGACAACGTCGCCAAGAGGTGCTTCTCTTATACCGGCCGGTGTTAGCCGATACTCGCCGAACACAAGTCTTCTAATAAATGAGAGCGTCGGGCAAGCGTAAAGGATATGCTCGATGGTCTCATCTTCTTGTTCGCACCCTCTGCAGAGTGCGGATTCTGACAGCCCCATGATATGGAGATGCTTCCGTACTTGGCAATGACCAGTCAGAATGCCTGTGACCAGACGCAGATTCTGTCTAATCATAGTCAAGTATTTATTTGCTGCAGTGTTGTCAGGATAACTTAAGAGCTCCCTGGCAACTCTGCAGTTTCTTGTTTCATCCCATCTTTCCTTGAATTTCACAAGGGAATGTTCTTTAATTAGGCCTGTCACTACCGATTTTGTCAGGCCAATAAAAGGGCCAGGTCCAAAAAGTATTTGGTTGGCTGCTTTCTTGGCTAGTGAATCGGCAAGACGGTTACCTTTCGATGTGGCGTGACCTTTGATCCATCTTAAGGTGACCACATTGTTGATGGATACTTCGGCCAAAGCTTCATGACATTCTAGTACTAACCCTGAATAAATTCGTGGTCTGTTCAGGGTGAGGAGTGCTTGTCTGCTATGTGTATAGATGAGCATGTTCCTTCCAGTGATATTATTTCTGGTTATTTCTTTTGCTGCTATGAGAATCCCCGTTAGCTCTGTTTGAACTACACTGGCACTATTCCTCACCGCCCATTTTATGTTTAGGTTTAAGAATCTGGAGTATATTCCGCATCCTGAGCCTTGTTTTGTTTTAGAACCGTCGGTGTAGATATGAATCGTACCTGCCACATCTGGCTCTTCTATTTGTTCTATTATAACTTTATATGGCTTATGGAAGATATATCTCGGTGAGATGGAGTCCATGTTCGCTTGAAGCAGTGGGAGCGTATCGAGTGCCTTCTGCCAAAAGTGACGTCTCGCCTCACCAGATCCTACATCAGGTTCTATTCCATCCGTGTGGAGGCGTGTCATTGTCGTCAGAGCAACCTCCTTGATGTAAATATCAAGGGGAGTGAGACTAAGAATGACTTACATCACTCTGGTTGGTTTTGTTTTCATGACTTCTGTTATGTTGAGACAAGCTGTTCTTTGAATTTGTTCTAGTTTACGGATAGCTGTTAATTTTTGGGTTGTGGATATTCAAACACGGCTTATGAAAATGTACCAATACCTAAATCGAACATCACCTTAAAAATGGCTGTTAATTTAAATTCATTAACTATTAAATAACTTTTATAAAAAACATTTTAACATTTACAAAAATTTTATCCTATAGGAACAAATGGTACAAGTGAACTATAAATGATTTGCTGTGATTTAACACTTTTATTACATTATATAATCTTTATGTATAACAAAAAAAGTCTTAATCCATTTTACTTTCAGAATTACAACCAATAAACGAGCAATAAATTTCAATTTCTAATAAATTATTTGACTCATCAAATGACTTAACTGTCAACTGTCATCCATCGTGTAACGTGATCTTATTTTATCTATTTTTATAGTGTTTTAAGCTCTTTGGGGAGTGGGTCAGGTTATTAAACAACTCGTATTACTTTGAAAAAGAATTTTGAGCGCCACTATATTTAAAACTTACTAAACTTGACTATCGATTAGTGATGAAAATATAGAAAATCACTAACCATTAAGATATTATAATTAAATAAGGTTTCAGATAAGGTAGCGACAAATTTTAATTCACAGAGACATACTTATTCAAATTTAAATGATTTATTCAAGACTTATCTGTTAAATAATAGGTAGTATTTAGGAGAGACTTGTAGAGGCCTTCTTCAAGGAGATTCGTATGATATACTTCGGATATCACCAACTCTTAAGTATAAACCTTCAAAGGTAAACTTAAATCTCATAAACTTCTTTAGATGACTCGAACTAAACCTCTTGATATACTTGAAATAAACTTCTGTAGCTGGAACTAAACTTTTAAGTTTCTATACTTCTAAACATCAAAACATGCAGCTTGAACTTTCTTCCAAACTTCTAAACAATCGCTTTAGATATAACTCCTACAGAACCATCTAGATACAGCCAGGCTACAAGGAAAAAGGTAAAAATATCAAGAAAGGGACTAGGAAGTTTATATAGGAAACAGATAAGATGCTTTTTACTATTAAATGAACAATTTAAATGATTAAATGAATAACTTCACAGAGACCAAAATTAATATGAAAAGGAAAAATCTTATTTGACATAATTAAAAATAGTAAAGCATATTATCTCTTTCAAACAAAATAATATTAAAACCATACAAGTAAAGGAGCTATGTTCATTCGAGCGCAATCCTTATGTAAATTAACATGGGAAATCGCTAAGGTTCATTCTGGCAATTTTTGTCTAAATCAAGATCACGCGTCGAAGTTCGAAGTCTGGGTTATCAGTAGATATGATAACGTTAGATAACGTCGAGAATCCAAGATGGCGGCCATTGAATGAGTATAGATTAAGGTAGTAGTAATGCCAAAAGGACCTAACCATGTATCACGTGGCCCGATTTAAACGAGAAAAACGACATTACGTAGAGAACGATTAACGTACAAGACAAAAATCATGCGCAGAACAAAAAGCCACGAGGGCCTTAGCGTGTATCACATGGTTAGGTCCTTTTGGCATTACTACTACCTTAATCTATACTCATTAAATGGCCGCCATCTTGGATTCTCGACGTTATCTAACGTTATCATATCTACTGATAACCCAGACTTCGAACTTCGACGCGTGACCTTGATTTAGACAAAAATTGCCAGAATGAAACTTAGCGATTTCCCATGTTAATTTACATAGGATCTTGGACACCAATGCTTTTTAAATGGAAAACATGTAGTTCACTCTGGACAGTAGAGTGCTGG